CGCCAACTCTTGGGCTACTCTTTTACCAGCGAATAGTGGGATTGACCGTCACATTATAACGCCCCTACGGCTGGAAGGGGGAGCATGTTTGGTGTGACGGGGATTCGAACCCGCGACCCCTCATATTGCGAGTCGAGCGCCCTAACCACCTGGCCATGCCGGGCCTTTCCCAATAATAATATTAAAACAAGCGCAAAGGTATACAATTGTATCGCTGTGTTTGTTCTGTAATGCGGTAAATCCAACCTAGGATTTTAGAGTTGTAAATACATAAATTTCACGTTTACCCAACCGGGAATACTTAAAGTTTCTAGTAACAGACTGTTAAAGCAAGCGATTTTGTTTTTTTTTAGCTTTCCTTTCATTTATGGGCAACTACAAAACTGTCAGCTTTTTTTATATTAAAGAAGGTTAAATACAGAGAAGTAAGGGGTAATCTTTTTGTTATTACTTTTTTGCACGTTTCCAGTACGTTAAATCTCATGAAATACTTGCATATCACCTAAATATCACTAGATGGAGTACGGCTGAGTCGCACACAATAAGCTGCTATCAATAACAAACAGATAAAGCACGTGCTGACAAGTTACTGCTGCCGGGAGACTACAGTAGTAATAAAATTATACAGATGAAACTGGCGTACAAATAATGCAGGTGTTGCCAAAAACCGACACTTTATTGTTTGTTTGTTTTGGAATTTCGCGCAAAGCTACACGAGGGCTATCTGCGCTAGCCGTCCCTAATTTAGCAGTGTAAGTGCCTTCCCTCTAGTTGGGTGGTGATGACTAGCGTAGCCCAAGAGTTGGCGGCTATTTTACCAACGAATAGTGGAATTGACCGTCACATTCTAACGCCCTAACCACCTGGCCATGCCGGGCCCAACAGGTGTTCTGCGTTGATAGAATATATATGAATATGGATTTTCTCTGAGCATCATCTCAGCCCCGTTCCTTAATTTCAACAAATAATTTTACTTACTTAGATTAAGTAATGCTTTATTTAAGTATATACAGGAGTTGGAGAAAAATAATAATAAAGTGCTCATTCTTTCTCAGATTTTAAATAGACTTGATTCGTTAATTTGGTATTCCACTGATCTCTTACAAAGGGGATTGGTATTACTTAAACATATGTAAATTTCATTACACGTTAGTTGTCACGCAACATGGAAAAGAAACGTTACATAAGTGACTTTCAAAGAGGACTGAATATGGGAGCCAGACCAATAGGTGCTTTGGTGACTTAAACGCCGCAACTTCTTGGTTTTTCAAAAGGAACAGTATCAAAGTTTATTACAGAGTAATGATTATCCCATAAGTCTTATCAGGTAAAGGCTTGGCGTGGCCAGGTAGTTCGGGCGCAGGACGCTCGACTCGCAATCAGAGTGTCACGGGTTCGAATCTTCTACACCGAACATGCGCTATAATGTGACGATCAATCCCGCTATTCGTTGGTAAAAGAGTAGCCCAAGAGTTTGCAGTGGGGGATGTGGACTAGCTGCCTTCCCTCTAGCCTGTCACTGCTAAATTAGGGACGGCTAGCGCAGATAACCCTCGTGTAGCTTTGTGTGAAATTCAAAAGGAATATAAGATCATCATGTATGAATGAAACTGTCAAGCTTTACGTCAAGTTGTGACCTCCACACGAATTAGTTCTAACAGCCATAGCTGGAACCACACGTTATTATGCCGCTTCTTCTGGGTGTTTCTGTTTTGTCCAACAACTGTAAATGTTGATTTATACTGAGCACCACTAACCTTGTTCCTTAATATTAATTATTTAGAGTATGTATTGCGTTCATTAAGTATAGGAAAATGGACTTACCTTGAGCAATATCTCAGCCTTGTTCCTTAATTATTTAGAATAGGTTTTATGTTCTAGGAATTAGAATATGTTTTTTCGTACACATTGAATAAACAGTTAAAAT